GTCGTCCTTCTTGGCTACCATGGCTACCCAACTTGTCGGGACACATACTCCCTCCAAGATTTGTCTGTGCTGGTACATCTTTGCTGATACGTCTCTCGGGGAGCCTGTTGTACCCGGTCGACGGGAGTGATGAGACGAATCGTTCCCTCCTTCCCGGAACGAGTGTTGCCGGGAAGGCCTCCTTCTTGGGTGCTTAAGTTGCCGAGACACGTACCCCCTTCAAAATCGTTTTGCGCTGGTACATCTGTGTTGATACGTCTTCCAGGGAGAGCTAACCAGCCTACCCAGTCGATAGGAGTCATGAGACGAATCGTCCCCTCCTTCCCAGGACGAGTGCTTCCGGGAGGGCCTCCTTCCCAGCTACTCAACTTGCCGGGACACGTACTCCCTTTGGGATCCATATGCTCTCAGCGTACGAGCGTGGTATATGGGCACCGAGCATACAGGCGTCTGGGGTGATAGCGTCGAGCACGCATGACCTCGCGAAGGTGCTCTGCAACCCCGACCAATTGGCACAGGTAATCAACCTGCAATTTCAAAAAAAAAAAAAGTTTCAGATTTTTTTTTGTGATGTATCACGGTTGATGATTGTCCTTTGCTGAAATTTTGACTAGGTCCAAATTAAGCCTTTCTGGGAGAAAGAAACGTCCATATGTGTTGTCAAACCAGTGTTGCTGCTTGAGAGAAGAGGAGATGAACCATACGCTTGCAGGACTCCTACTCCCTCCGAACATCGTTGCTGCCAAGAGGCAGGGAAGAGGAGCCCCGATCTCAGCGAAGGAGTTGCGATCTCAGGCATGGGGACTGGAAGATCCCTTGGCGACCGCTGCCCTGATGGAGTGAGCATCAAGCGGCGTCTGGTTCGGGTCATGCTGCCCTTGCACGTACATCACTGGCCTCCTTCCCAGCAGAACCCTGGACGGCAGGTTAGAGGTCGTCGGGGTAGTCACCCTCGTCTGAGCGCAAGTTCGGCGGGGAAGGTTCCATGATCGTGGCTCTGCCGATGAAACAAACCGCGAACAGAGGGACGAGCTCGCCATTAATGGAGACCAGAAGCTTCGACCTCGCTGTTGACTGCCGATAACCACGCTAGCTCGTCCTGGAACGACAGTCACGGCGGCGTAGTAACCAGAAGCGAGGAGGGCGACACTATAACGGACTAACATAGATGGCTGAGAAGCGACCTGCTGGATGACAAGGTGCTCTGCGAGACGCGTGGGAGGCGGAAGAGCTTGGTCCCCGGGATCTGGGTTGCTTCGTCCATCTCCTTCCTTCAGCGATTTGGTCCGAAGGGATATGATTTGGAAGACCCCCATTCCAGTTTGCTTTTCTACGAAATCTTCATCCTCAATCATTTTTGGCTGAACTCTGAAATTGTAATCAACTTTTTGATAATTTTTCCAGCTATCTCACTCAATTTTGCTGTTTTCTCTTGATTTTCTACCGAAAAAATGAGAGTCAGCTCTCAATGAAAGCACCAATGTTGGTAGAAAATACCTCGGGTAGAGAAACTAACAGCATTTCCGTATAGTAAAATAGCGTAGAGAATACATGGGGGGTGATGGCCTATTTATAGGCATCCATCACAAGTCCAAAGCCTAACCTACGTGGGCTTGGCCCAAATACATAATACATGTCCAAGCTATTGGGCGAACTGGCCCGATAAATAAGTAAATGAGCAATGGGCTATTTCCGCTCGTGAGACTGTGTCTTGGGCCTAGTTGGGCCAAAGCTCGGGGATAACGGGCTGATGGCACTGGGCCTGATCCATTATCCCAACAATCTTCATTCAGACCTAGTTTAAGTTTAGTACCTCATGATACTAATATACAGATTAATATCTTTTTCTCGTATAAACATTTCATCGAACACCTTATATGTTTTGGTGAAAATCAAACTCATGTAAATACTGAACAATATAATAAATTGATCAAGCATATAAAGAACATGGAATGAGAAGAAGAGGTATTAACCTAGATTATATTATTAGAGCTGCAACACCATAATGTCCTACTTTGGTTGCAAACTTGCAATGATATACATAGTAAAAAAAGTAGAGGTATGCATTTGAAGGTCTCCTAGATTGGCTGCACGACGCGGTAACCTTTGAGAGGGAGTATATAAGAGGCGTGTTTTCCCCTTGCAGGATCTAACGGCTTGAAGGTGTGAATTTTTCTCAAGTCTGGCTTCTATCCATTTGTATTTGCACTTCTGCAGTAGCTACTTCTCTTTGAAAAGAAAGTCATGTGGCTTAGATCAAGATACTGATGCATAAAAAGCCTAACACATGCTTTAAACTTATAGCGGAAAACATGCCCAAGGACGATGGGAAGACTTATAGCTATTTTCACATTGCATATGTGGTTGGGATTACAATTATAAGTTGTAACACATGGTTTAGGTTGTGTTTCTTGGGGTGGTTTAGATCAAGATAAACACATAGCAAAAGTTTGACATATGGGAAGAAGTGAAAATCGGAGAAGGGCTTATCTAGTGAAGGACAACACTAAATCAAGATATTTGATGAAGAAGAATAATCAGAACAACATGTATGAAACAGGGCAAATGAAGGGAACAGAGAAAGTAGTATACTTTTGAACACATTCATAATAGGTTAAATAGTGTTAAAATGCCCTTTTAAGGAGCATTATGCATTTATGCAGACATCTTAGGTTAGAATATATTTCATCTTCTCAAAGTTTTTTGTTTTTCTTCTTATCAATCCGTAATGCAATTGGATAAATAAAACCCTCTTTTATATTCCCCCTAGTTCACTTTCTGGATTGGAGTTTACATTTCAGGGAGACTATTTCAATGCCCAGCAAAGTTGGAGTATTTATTTGTTGCTTTAATTTGAATGGCTGTTTTCAATATAATATGGTTTTAAATATGGTTGTAGCTCTAATTGGTTCATTGACCTTTTAGCTAAATAAAGATGTCTGCTTACCATAGATATTCATTCTATACTCACTTCCCTTGAAAGCACTTGATTTATGCGATAAAAGGTAAATATAAGATGGCATTTCCCAACAACATTAGTTCTCCAAATAATTTAAGTATATCAGTCATAGCTTAGCAATTGGACAGTCATTTGAGAATTGCATTTAGATGAAAAGTCAATGCTAAGAACCGAAAATGAGATAAAACACCTATAATCATTTACACGCAAAAAATTAGATTTGATTTACCATGACAATGCTATGTCTATTACCAAAGAAAGATCACCTAAGCATTTCTTCAAACATGGTAAATGCAAACTGTAAGACACAAAATTCACATCACAAATAATGTTTTGATGTTACCAGAATAGAGGAAATAAAACTCAGAATGGTAAATGCAATAAGTAAAGAATAGGCTAAAGTGCAAATAAAGCAGGATCTTTCATCATCGAACTATAAAAGTAATCAGTTCAAAACCTTTTTCCGCGATTGGAGAGAACGGGCCCTTTGCTTCCAAGGGCTTTGATAGAAATTGGGGGAGATGAAGAGATGGGTGCGGCGATCTCGGAGAGATGAAGAATCGTAAAAGGATGAAGTTGTGTCTATGAAGGAGATGTGAGAAACGAAGGCTGTAAAATTGGAATGAGGCTTTTCTTGGAGGAAGCCATGTGGCTTTAGAAGAGGAAAGGAGAAAATATAGGGTTGAGCAACACGTAAGCATAATTAAGGGCACAATGGTCTTTTAATGAGCTATTTGTTTTCTTATATATAAATAGATTCTATTCATGTTATTCATAGAGTTTGTGCATTTGCATTAGGGTGGCTGTTGGCATAAAAAACATCCCTTCAGGCAGAAACTCAAATGGGGCTGCATTAATTGCCGATTAACAGTTTTATGAAACGGAATTTAGATGGAAGTTGTCAATATTTCTATTATTAATGATCCTAAAAAGAAGACAAGTCAAGAGTTCACTATCTCTTCATACTAAAAAGCTATTTTTAGTATTTAGAGCAATGAATTGGACTGAATAGTATTAGTCTGACATTTACATTAGGGTGGGTATTGGCAAAAAATACAAATAATTGGGTTGTCTTTAGCAGCCGTAAGCATACAATTAGGAATAGTCAAGAAAATTAGTTTTTGAGGTGTTGAGTAGAGCAAAAACAGCAACCCAATAAGATTGTTTAAGTTTTTACTTTTAACAATTTAGTATACAAGTAATGTTTGTCATGTGTTATATGATAGTTTATTACATTATAGCTATGTATTATTATGATTAAAAATTTATCATAACAGTTTATTAAAAATTACTATTAAATGTTTAGACATTAGTATTGACTATCTATTTGTTCTAATTTCTAAAAAAATTAAAATATTACTCTACCACAGGCGTATTAATATTCAAGGTCTTAGCCTCTTAAATTTATCAAACAGTTTGAATTGTTTTAAAAGTAACAATTTAACAATCTGCCCTAAACCCTAAATGAAGTATATCGAGTGTACAATTTAACAATCTGCCCTCCAGCCGGGCTGAATAGCAGTAAGTGGGCAATTCAGTAGCCCTAAGGCAGTACAACAACTTCTTAAAACGAAGTTGTTTGTTTCTGGACATGATCGATCATAGTTTAATGATAGCAACAGGGAAGCCACAGCTCCCATGAAATGGAACGAAGGTGATGGCGATCTGTTCCATCCTTCTCCGGCTCTAAAAATAGGACTTCAATCCAACTCTGATTTTATACTATTATATTAATCTAAACTGCCACAGTGCCTCCATATCACAACCATAATCCTTTATTCATGGTTTTAGTGACCCACACCACTGGGTAATTTTCCAAGCATTTATTTCATCTAAGAGACTAATACCTATAATCACATTATCTTAGACACATGCATTATAAGTCCACTGCCCTTGGATGTATCGCACATCATAGAACTTACAAAGAATACCAAATGTATACTTATATATAAACCTGATAAAATTGCAGATTAGATTGTATGTTCACTCATGAGTTATAGGAACGTGCCAATTTTGTTATTCTTTGGTGCTTTAGGCTGAACGGGTTGCAAGTAATTGTGTGCAGACATTGATTCTTCTCAGAGGTATGTAATTTTAGTCATTGGTTGCCTTCCATTTCATTACATGGTGAATTACCTCTATCTTTGTGTGATGCCCAAATAATTTAAGTTTTACTATGTGTCTTTTAAATATAGGATCTACCTACTGTCGTTATCTAATTTGAGGGTGTTTACAAAAACAAAAGTGATTATAAATGATTGTAATAGGATATTACTAAAGTTTTACTAATGGTGCTCTAACTATAAGACTTCAATACAACTCTGATTTTGTACTATTAATCTAAACTGCCACAGTGCCTCCATATCCCAACCATAATCCTTTATTCCTGGTTTTAGTAACAAACGCCATTGTGTAGTTTTGCAAGCATTTATTTCATCTAAGAGACTAATATCTTGAATATTAATACGCCCAACACTCCCTATGATCACATTAACTTAGGCACGTGCATTATAAATCCACTGCCCTTGGATGTATCACACATCATAGAACTTACAAAGAATACCAAATGTATACTTATATATAAACCTGATAAAATTCCAGATTAGGTTGTTTTTTCACCCATGCGTTATAGGCGCATGACAATCAAAGATGAGACGGGAACTGTTAGTGGAATAATGTTTGGGTTGTGTGCTGAAAAGTTACTGCTTATGACAAGCAGGCAAGTCATGGAAGTAGAATCACAGGTAACATCATCCCCAATACTGCCCAATTAATTTATCGTTTAATGTTTTTCATATGAGGCTATGAGGGAGGATTTAATGTTAAGCATTCAAAAATGAAGCCCAAGTATATTTCTTTCTTGAATTTGTTTCCTCTTGCCATAAACATTGTTTACATTGTAAAATTAATTAATAATGTCACCCAAAGCTTTATTCGCCAACTCTAAGCCACAGATTTTTTAACAACATCGTCAAGTGAATCATAATGCTTCATTAGTCATCCTAATGCTTCATTAATCATCACACTATGTTAACATGTTAAATAGCTGGCTAAAATGTCTTATAAATTTTTAAATGACAATGTTGGCTTTACTTTTTGAAGTGTCACTTATTATACAAATAGGTAGTAATTTTGAAGCCTTATATGGAGCCCCACTACTATTTCAAATTAGTAACCTCACTTGTAACTAACATGTTGATGTACGCTTTTTATCGTGGTGGATTATAAGATGCAAGTTTATCAAGAAAAAACTAACTTCAAGCTTTATTTAAACTATATATCTCACTGTCAAGTTTTAATACCCCACCCCCCCAATTCATATAACCAGAATAAGAATGATTAGATATGAGAGTGAACAACGATATATGACATAGTACAATTTTAATAAAAATTATACTTGAATTTCTTAATATGAAGACTCAAATTTTCACATCATAATTCTTTGTTTTTCAATATTTATTAATCAACAAACAAGATAAGTGAAAACACTGTTAAGCCAATACTAACTGTAGTTACCAAAAATATTGTGATGGTAATGGCTTCAATGTCAAAATTAGAACTGTTAGCGGTTGATTACAAAACCAATAAATTACAAAATTGAAAGATGTGCATCATAAAATAATGCTAGATCATATAAACTCTAAACACGTTAGATTATGACAAAGTATTTATTAATAATAACCAAGTGAAGACAAATAAATCAAGAAAAATATGATGGTTTGCTCACTTCATATGCTTAAAGGCTCATTTTATTCATTGGAATCATTGCATTCTTCCTAACATAAAATATTTGATTTTACTCTCAAGATGACAAACTCAAAGTGTTTCCTATTGATAAATTTTAGTTGGCATTACCGAAGATCAAGAACCCCAACTATGAGGGGAAGTGAATCACAAGATCAATAACCCAATAAGCCTTAATTGTGCAATTTCTAGCATGTTATGTCTTTTAAAAAAACTGTTAATATTATCAATTAATTTGATGTTTCAAACTTACCTACAATAAGATACTTAGCCAATGTAATCAATACGAGAAGTACTGATACTTTAAGTTATTATCTCACCTAAGTTATTATCTCACCTGGATGGTCCAAACATTAAGTTGGATAAAGTTAATGTAATATATTCTATTACAACTATTAAGTTGAAAATAGGGAGGACTATTCTAAAACACTTTTACACTAAATTATTATATTTTATATTTTGCATGATGTTAAATGTTTGAAGGGCCATTTACTACACAGTGGAAGCAAGATTTAGTAATTTAAACATAATTCAACAGTAACCTTTCATAGCTATATGCTTTATAGGCTTCCTGTGTTACTTCAATGAATTTAGTTATGTTGAATCTTAGGATATAGTTTTTCCCATAGAACATTGACGTGTTTTGAAGGTCACGCTGAAAAATAATGATTATCAACTTGATAAATTAAGAAAAGTTGTTTTAAGATGAATGAAAAACATAATCTTAGTGGTCTCTTACAACTCATTGATATTCTTTTGTACTTGATAGGGGAAAAAAGCTTCATTCCCATACATAAACAAGCGTCTTGCTAAGGAAGAGTACATAGTCCAGTTGAGGTCTTCACTAGACAATCGGAGTTCAACAAACAACTACCCACGCAAGGCAAGCACATCTTATGTCATAACATCTTTGCACGAGTCTTCACTACACGTGATAAGGATGGATGAAGCAAATGATGCCGATCACATTGCACCCAGTGAAAGCACAAGCACTTCAACTCCTCCAGTGAAACGCATCAAGACAGTGTGATGCAAACTGCACAACAATCTCAACCATTCCACGACTCACCAAACTATGTTACTACATTCTAATACTTTCATTTTTGCAATACTATGTTCCATTTTGAATGTTATCGCTCCTACAAGCATAAACATATTTTCCCACGATACACTACATTTGTTTGCAATGATACAATATTATGTCTATTTCTTCCCATTCTAATAAATTACACACCAATAATGCAATCATGATATTTCACACCATTCTATTCGCAAATTCTATTTCAATGTTATTGCAAAGGGAATTCATGTAGTACACACAATGTTACACAAACATGATGTGTATACCCATTCTCCAGCTTATATCATGTGCACACCCATTAACATATTGGACATGAACCCCATTGCAAAAACACATTGGGCACAATCTCCATCGCGCAACGCGCGTTGCAACAACTAGTACAATAATAAAAGACAATCTTCGTTATTATGTCTGTGCAATTATGTCTTTATTTACATGCATCATGGGTCATAATCGTTTTATCACGTTATATAATATACTTCCACCGTTCTTTTTTTAATTGTAATGGACTACTTTTCACGTTTGATAAGACACAAGTTTGACCAATAATATATTTCATTCCTTATTAGTAAAAAAATATTTTGAAAATTTAAAATGAGACGAATTTGACAATACTTTCCAAAATTTTAATTTATAATACATTAATAGATAAATGTAATCGAAGTAGAATACGTGAATAGTGCAAAATCGCCAATTTTGCAACTAAAAGAGAATGAAGGTAGTATTTAATTTGACCCGTCACCAAAAGAAATATAGTATCCTAGTATCTTCATTGATGGAGTTTAATTCCAACCACGAGAACTAATTTACGTAAAAATATATTTGGGCACCGCAAGACATTTTATTATCTGGAAAAGTGAATCCCTTTTAGCGTATGTACATGAAGTATTTATAGACATAGGGCTATAGTAGCCTTACGAGGTGTTTACTTTGGTGCTAAAGTCACAGTTAGGTTAGTAAGACAGGTGAAGTAAACATGCACGCCGCTTAAAAAGCCGCTTACTAACCGAAAGGGGCGCTTAAAGTGCCGCTTACTAAGCATACCACCCCCATGTATTAATTAAGCGGCACTTTAAGCTTTTTCAGTTTCAGAATTTACCCCTTGCCCTTACCCTATTGTTACCTCTCTGCCAGCTACCCCACCCCTACCGTAATACCCCGACCCCCACTACCTCCATCCTCGTACCTTACCCCTAACACCTACCTTACCTCTACCTTGCCCCCTTACCCCCTCCCCTACCTCGGCCCCACCCCAATCCCGACCCTGCCCTACCACCATCCTACCCTGCCCCCTACCCTACCACAACCCTGACCCCGAACCCACCCTACCCCAAGCCCCTATCACCCTACCCCACCCCCACCTACCCCCTACCATATGCCCATACCTCGGCCCCACCCCAATCCCTACTCTAACCACCATCCTACCCTACCCCTACCCCAACCTAGCCCTTACCACCCTACCCCACCCCCACTCTAACCCCCTACCATGTGCCCCCTACCTCGGCCCCACCCGCAATCCTACCCCCTACCCCTACTCTACCTTACCCCGACCCCAACCCACTACCCACCCCTTACCACCCCCACCCTACCACATGCCCTACCTCGGCCCCACCCCGATCCCGACCACCCTGCCCCACCACATATTGTATTATATACTTGTACTCATGAATGTTTGTGTGTCTATATATGTATAAGGTTATTTTGGATATTTTAATGTTAAACGGTGTTTTAAACCCTTTGAAGTAAACACGTTCTTAAAACATTGCTTACTTTATGCGCCACATAGTAAAGCGGGTCTTAATAAGCACCGTTTAGTAACCCGTGAAGTAAACGTGTCCTAAGAGATATAATCAGCACATCAATAGGTTCAATCTTGATGGAACTCTTATAACGTATCCCATAATTCCTGCTCAATGGCATTGATCCTCGCGTTGTTTCTGTCGTGAGCCTTGCAAGCCCTCACGTAACAACTCCTGGCCATCTTCTGATCGCCTCTTACTGTGCCTATCCCAGTCGGCATGTAAAAGTTCATGCAAAAATGAGCTCGGGATATTATTGCCCCGAGGTTCTCCAACAGTGGTCTACAAAGAATGGCTTTGTGGACACTTGGCAGTCACACCACCACAAAATCAGCCTCAACTGATAGCACACATGGCTCTGGTCCGAGCTGAACCGTGAGGGTTATTACTTCTTGTTGTTCACTAAAATCTCCCGTGAACCCCGATAGGGGTTTTTTGACTAGTTTCAAAGCTTCTTTCTGGAGGCCAATCTCTAAGTAGGTGTCCAGGTAGAGGGTATTCACCGAGCTGCCATTGTCTATCAGGACCCTATGGATAAATGTGTCCATAGTCTCCATCTTTACCTCAAGGGCATCCCTGTGTGGCGGAGGGCAAGGTGGTAGGTCATCGCTGGTAAAGTTAATTTCCCATTTTTGTGTTTTATCTACCGAAAATTGATTGATCTCATGAATGAACAACTGCCGACTCCACTTCTTCCTTTCCTTGGTGGTATCTCCTCCCCCCTGTCCACCATAGATTTGATTTACATTGTGACATTTTTGCCGACCTGACTCTTCCCATTCGTCATCATCCTCGAACTGGGCTCCGACCTATCTCTGTTGGAAGTTGAGGCCTGCTGTCTTTGCCCTTGACCCAGACACTCTTCTTTTGAGAGGGTGCCCCTACAGAATCTTCTTCACAAAGTGATCTAGTTGTCCATATCGAATGAGCCTTTTACGTACTTCTTCAGCACGTAACACTCCTCAGTTTTATGAGTGTCACTTTTGTGTAATTTGCAATACTTTCCCCGGGTAGCCTGGCCGGTGATAACGTCACACGTGTTCGACAACATTACCAGACCTGCTTTGCGGCATAATTCAGGATTGTGCTCACTCGGTGTGTCAATGGGAAAAATTTTAATTGACTGGACAGAGGTCCATTAGGTACCCCTGACTTGCCTTTGCCCAAATACTTCTTCTTTCTTTTGAAACCCGCTTCCCTTGTTTGGCTCATGGTCTTCCTTCTCGTTAATTTTCTTTCCATCATTGGTTTGAAGCTTTCCATTCTATTCATCCCTTTTTCTTTTCTCTGTTTCTTCCACCTCTATTTGACGATCGGCCCATTGTAAGGCTTTCTCATGAGAGGTTAGGGGCTGCCGTACAAATTATTTGTGTAATTTACCCAATCTCGAGCCATTGGTGAAAATGGAAACGACTGCCTTGTCATCCATGTCGTCAACCTTTACAGATTCATCTCTCTTATAAGACAAGAAGGCAGTCAAGGTCTCCTGGCCCCTCTACTTGACTCCCATGAGATGAAAGAAGTTTTTCTTGGAGTCCTTTGAACTAGCGAGTCGTGTTATGAAAGCTTGGGCTAAGTCCTGAAAATTTTGTATCCTACCATCCAACAGGGAATAATACCGTTCCCCGGCTGGTCCATCCAGGTTCACTGAGAGTCCTAGACATTTGATCGCGTCTTTATAACCCATCATCACCATGTAGGCCATGTATCTAGAGACATGGTCTTGAGGGGTCAGTCTTCCCTCGATAGGCCTCAATGTTACATGGCTTATACCCACGAGGAAGCCGGGCATCCATAATTCTCCAGATGAACGACTCAGGAATCCTCACGTTATGGAGTGAGGTTGGCTCCACCATCTACCACTTTCCTTAGGTCATCAAGGCGCCTCGTGAGGTCGTCCACATCTCATTCAACCTGATTGCGCGGCTGGGGGGTATGATCTCTACGGGTTAGCCAATGTCCGGGGATCTCATGTTTGGGACCCCCATGCGCACTGCGATGGTGGGAAGAAACGGATGCAGAAGATGCTTTCTCGCTCCTCTCGACCTTGGAAGAGAGCATGTCATGGACATAAACTCTCATTCCTTCCACGCGATCCATCTCTAAGGTCCTCGATGTCTGACGGGAATGATGCGACCTTTGGCGGCGCGTCGATGCCGCTTCTGTTTCTTCCCTGTGTGGTATGTAGGGCACACGATTGGGAGAAGGCTGTCTAGCATCAGTATTAGGGATAATCCCTTGGAAATCCGTCACCAAGGTTTCCACGACCCATACCATGCAGACGATTCCTTAAATCGCCTGGTTTCAACACATTGTTATTCCGGCTTCGGAAATTGTTTCGCCATGAATGAGACTCGTCGTCTTGGTTATTCCGACTAAGAGAGCTAATTCATGTAAAATATTTTTGGGCAACGTAAGGCTATTTATTAATCGGAAAAGTATATCCCTTTTAGGGCATGTACATGAAGTATTTATAGATATAGGGCTACAGTAGCCTAATGAGATATGACCGGCACATTCAGGATGTTTTCTTTTGCACTGTTTTCAGTCTCAGACCAGACCTGACTTCCATAGTTATAAAATACACAGAGACCAGACATTTACCATACCAGACCAGCAAATTTCAGTCCAAAAGAAAACATCCTCAATAGGTTCAATCATGATGGAACTCTTCTAACATATCCCATAATTCCGCATCCATTACTTCTTTATGTCCACGTCTCTTCCGTTAAGTCTCTATCGCTGCGAGATAGCTATGCATAACAAATATCATCCCACGTAAGCCATAGGGTGAGTCCGATCTCGCTAGAATCACACCTAAACTCGAGGCCTGCTGATCAGGCCAGCCTGGATGTGGGTTCCTTTCGCGGGTCGTGGTCCTCTGTCAGGCCTAGTTGGCTTTATTAACCTATTAATCCCGATTAATGGGCTTAGTTCATTAATCTTGTATAATGGGCTTCACACGTATGGTCTTTGATTGAGCCATGGTCACAATCCATGGTACCAACATACACTTTTATCATTTCATGAATAGCCAATATATTTTTATCATTTATTTGATGGTAAACACAATTTAATTAATTACATATCAGGCCCCTTCCAATAATCTCTCACTCGTCCTTGGATATAATTCTTGACAAAATATCAACTTTATGAGTTCAAAAAAGCAATCTTATCCATCAG